GTTTTGTGTATGGTGTAGGTTGGTGGTCTAGTTTCATTTTTTTTTTTTGCAAGTATCTGTCCTGTTTTCCCAAAACCATTTATTGAAGAGACTGTCTTGACTCCATTGTATGTTCTTGCCTCCTTTGTCGAATATTAATTGAGCATAGTGGTTTGGGTTGATTTCTGGGTTCTTTATTCTGTTCCATTGATCTATATGTCTGTTCTTGTGCCAGTACCAGGCAGTTCTGAGAACAGTGACTTTGTAATACAGCTTGGTATCTGGTTTTGAGATCCCACCTACTTTGTTCTTCTTTCTCAGGATTGCTGCAGCTATTTGGGGTCTTTTTTTATTCCAGATGAATTTTTGGAGAGTTCGTTCTAGGTTGTACTGCAGATTTTTAATCCATTCATCTGCTGATGAGCACTTAGGCTATTTCCAAATCTTAGCTATTGCAAATTGTGCTGCGATGAACATAGGCGTGCATATATCCTTTCTGATTGGTGTTTCTGATTTCTTGTTATATATTCCTAGAAGTAGGTTCACTGGGTCAAATGGGAGTTCCATTTTCAGTTTTTTGAGGAAACTCCATACTGTTCTCTACAGTGGTTGCACCAGTCTGCATTCCCACCAGCAGTGCACAAGGGTTCCTTTTTCTCCGCATCATCGCCAGCACTTGTCATTTGTTGATTTGTTAATGATAGCCATTCTGACAGGTGTGAGATGGTATCTCAAAAACATGTATGTGTGTTTATGATTTTGTTTATATATATATGTGTGTGTGTGTATGTATATTTACAAATCAATATTATATTATGCTCTCGCTAGAGGCCCGGTGCACGAAATTAGTACATGGGTGCAGTCCCTAGGCCTTGCCAGCGTTTGAAGCATGAGCATTGGGCGTGGAAGGGCAGGTCCCAGCTGACCTCTGGGCCCCTGTGCACCCCCCTCCACCTGAGTCACAGCGCCCGAGTCCCCATGCAGAGATGCGGTGAGCGTGGCTAGACGTTGTGGGCCAGGGCACAGCGTGGGCGCCTGCACTGCCCATTAGTGCCGCATGGAAGCTGGGAGGGCAGCGTTCTCTCTCCCGGCTGGCCTCGCAGACCGGCTTCTTCGTGAACCCACAAGGAGCCTGACTGGCCTCTGTGATCCCAGCGGCTGTGGCCCGGCTCACCCAGAAGAGGCCGCACAGGTGCAGGACAGCCTCCTCGCAGGCACTTGGTACCTGAGCGCCGGGGGCTTCCCTGGTGCACGAGCCCTGGTGTCCAGGGGAGGGTAGCAGGGGGAGTGTGAGTGAGCTCGGCAAACACCCCACATTCTCACTGCACCTCCATCCCTGTCACCCCCAAGATAGCCGGCAAGAGGTCACAGCCACGTGCCCGGGCGCCACAGGAGGTTGGTCGCTGCCACCCACCCCCAGTTCCCTGTCCTAGCCCGGGGCCCAGCCCCAGTTGGCCGATCAGGGCCTGCTGGCTGCTGGTTGCTGTCTGTGGGATGATCGGTCATGGCCAGGTCCCCCACCCAGCTCCCTCAGCTCCTGGGAGCCGGGTGGTGGCCCCGCCCCCCGCTCTCACCCCTGGTTGCCATCGGTGGGGCGATCAGGCCCCCGCTTGTACCCGCCTTGGCCTGGCACCACCTGTTCACCTACTCCACCATCCCTCAACGGTCCTGCTCCCCTCAGGGTCCATCGGGGCTGGCAGTGCCTCCACTGCCGCCCGCTGCCAGCGCCATGTTCTGTGCCACCCCCGGGTAGTCAGCACACGTCATAGCGAGCAGTCGAACTCCCGGTTGAACTCCTGGTCGAGGGGACAATTTGCATATTCGGCTTTTATTATATAGGATATCCTATATTAATGGCAATTTACCAGTCTTGAACTGGATACACAAAAATCTACTTAAGGATCTGTCGCTGTGTTTCCTATTTATATTAAAAATGAATCTAACCAATAACTCATTAACTTCATGTAAGAATCATCAATTCTGCAATACTTCGTGTGGCCTAGAATGTTAATGGTACAAGGTGGATTTCTTTTCTAGTAATGAGAGATGATACAACATAGAAAGCAGAATACTTTTTAAGCAGATAACTTAAAAAATTTACTAGTAATAAGATAACTTACTGGTAAAAAAGATAATATTTATCAAGAGCTTACTAAGTGATAGGCTCTATTTCTATTATATTGTTATTATTAACTTTTTATCCCTTGGTTTTTCACATGATATCCTCAGTTATCCTTTTTTTTTCAGACTTATTGTCCTCAGTTTCATTACCCATTACACATAATTTGAATTTTTTTCTCCTCATCAGGTACTAGACTTTGTTTAGCTTCCTTTTATAGGATGGTACCCCAAATCTGTACTCTAGATGTGTTCTGATATTTTCAGAGCAAAGAAAGAATGTGCTAAGTCTGTATATTATAATTCTGTTGATGCAGCTTAAACTTACATAAACTTAGTGTACTAAAGTAGTACTAAAATTAAAATCCTTAAGCCCTCTAAAGACATCCTACAGATGAGCTTTTTCTCTCTCTTATTCTATACTTGTATAGCTGTTTTGGAATTCACTATAGAATCTTAGCATTTATTCCTATGAAACTTCTTGTTAGATGTCAGTTCTTTTGGATCCTTGTTTTATTATCCAGTGTTTTCACTGTACTTTGCAGCTTCATGTCATCTGCAAAACTAGGACAAATTTCTTTCTCCTTTGTTACAATTTCACAGATAGAAGATTCGTTCTTACTGTAGATCTTAGCAACCTTACATATGGTTGTTTTCCCCTTATTAAGTCGAAATTCTCATCTTTTCACTTAAAGACAGCACTTTATGGCTTTCTTGGCATATCTGAATTGCCAACATCACTACTCTTACAGTTTGGGGCCATTATTAAGTAAAATAAATGTTACTTGACCACAAGTACTGCAGTACCATGACAGCTGATTATAACTGAGACAGCTACTAAGTGGCGAATGGGCAGGCAGTGTATACAGTGTGGATACACTGGACAAAGGGATGACTCATGTTCCAGGTGGGCTGGAGCAGGACAGCCCAAGATTTTATTATGCTACTCAGAACAGCAAGCAAGTTAAAACTTGCGACGTTTTTTCTCTGGAATTTTCCATTTAGTATTTTCAGACCATGGTTGACCAGGGGTAACTGGTTGGGGCATGTACAGGAGGCAGTTGACCAATGTTTCTCTCAAACAGTAATGTTTCTGTCTCTCTCTCTTTTTCTCTCTCCCTTCCTCTCTCTCTCAAATCAGTAAACATCCTCGGTTGAGGATAAAAAAATGCACAGGAATGAAGTGCTGTACTCACTCCTACCAATATTTATATTATTTAATAGTGTTGGGAATTTTAATTTATTGATAATACTTTTAAAATAGGAACTAAATCATATACTTTTTTATTTTCATAACTTGTGTTTGAGATGTGAATGAGACAGAAAGGAAACGGTTTATATTGTATAGGTGTTTTATGTTTTATGCATTATAAACAGCTATGATCTAGTTTGAAGTATTTATGTATTAATTTTTAAAATATAGTTGTATTGATTTCAAAGAGGAAGAGAGAGGGAGAGATAGAAACATCAATGATGAGAGAGAATCATTGATTGGCTGCCCCCCGCAGGCCCCCCACTGGGAATAGAGCCCGAACACTGTGCATGTGCCCAGTTGTCCTGACCAGGAATCAAACTGTGACTTCCTGGTTCATAGGTCAATGCTCAACCACTGAGCCACGCCAGCCCAGCTAATTTTCTTTTTTAATCCTCACCCAAGGATATGCTCAGAGAGAGAAAGAGAGGAAGAGAGAGAGAGTGTGAGAAAGAGAGAAACATCAACGTGAGAGAAAGAGACACATCATTCATTGCCTTCCGTACATGCTCCGACCAGAGATCGAACCCACAACCCAGGTATGTGCCCCAACCAGGAATCGAACCTGCAACTTTTTGGTGCATGGGGTAACACTCAACCAACTGAGCTACACCAACTGCACTAATTTCTTTTTAAAAATTTTTATTTATTTATTTTAAATATATTTTTATTGATATCAGAGAGGAAGGAGAGGAAGAGAGAGAGAGATAGAGACATCAATGATGAGAGAGAATCGGGACGCGGCCTCCTCCTGCATACCTCCCACCTGGTATTGAGCACGCAACCCGGGCATGTGCCCTTGACCAAAATCAAACCCGGGACGCTTCAATCCACAGGCCAATGCTCTATCCACTGAACCAAAACATCTAGGGCTAATTTTTTTTTAAATGATTCTTTCTACCCCCCTTCTTTTAAAAAAAAAAATTTATTGATTGAATTCAGAGAGAGAGAGAGAGAGAGCGAGAGAGAGAGAGAAGAGAAACATCAATTTGTTGTCCTACTTATTTATGCATTCATTAGTTGTTTCTTGTATGTGCCGTGACTGGGATTGAATCCGTAACGTTGGCTATGGGGACGATGCTCTAACCAAATGAGCTATCTTAGCATCTATATATTAATTTGTTATGGCTGATGTAACAAATTACTACAAACGCAGTTGCTTAAAAAACCAGAAATTTATGCTCTTACAGTTCTGAAGGCCAAACATCTGAAATTAATATATCTGGGCTGAAATTAAGGTGTTGGCAGGGCTGTACTCCCTCTGGAGGCTCTAAGGGAGAATTTGTTCCTTGCTTTTTCCAGCTTCTGGTGGCTGCCAGTATTACTTGGTTTGTGGCTTCATCACTGTAATCTCTGTCTCTGTAGCCACATTACCTTCTCTTTTGCCTGTGTCAAATCTTATAATAAACCTGTGATTATATTTAGGGCCCACCAGGATAATCTTCCCTTCTCAGAATCCTTAATCATACCTGCAAAGCCTTTTATTGCCATGGAAAGTAACCTTCAAAAGTTCCAGGGATTAGGATGTGGATGTCTTTTTAGGGAGCCATTATTTAATCTACCACAGTCCTTATTGCCTTTCACTTTTTCTTCTTTTTTTTTTCCTTCATCTCTTTTCTTCTCTCCGATTTTTTTTTTCTTCATCTTTTAGAAGCACAGATTGAGTGGGTATGATCTGAAGTTGTGATCAAGAGTTGAGTAGCCCTGGCTGGTGTATCTCAGTGATAGCTCAGACTTTAATTTAATGAAGGTAAATAGAAGAGTTGGCAGAATTGTGATCCAAAAGTCAATTGTCAAGAGACCTTTGTGGTTTGGGGCATAAACTCATAATCTTTGGGCCTCTGTTTCTTTTTCCTTTTTTAAAAAATTGATTTCAGAGAGGAAGAGAGAGAGAGAAACATCAATGATGAGAGAGAATCATTGATCGGCTGCCTCTTGCATACCCCCTACTGGGGATTGAGCCCACAACCCTGGCATGTGCTCTCAGAATCGAAAGGACCCTTCAGTCCGTAGGCTGACACTCTATCCACTGAGCCAAACTGGCTAGGGCAGGCCTCTGTTTCTTAATATCTATGTTGAAGGAGTTGAATTATATGATTGGTTATATCCCTTTTAACTTTAAAAGCCTCTGTTGCCTGGCTGGTGTGATTCAATGGTTGAGCATCAACCTATGAACCAGGAGGTCACAGTTTGATTCCTGGTCAGGGCACATGTCCAAATTGCAGACTTGATCCCCAGTAGAGGGTGTGCAGGAGGCAGCTAATCAGTGATTCTCTCTTATCATTGATGTTTCTATCTCTTTTCTCCTTCTCCTTCCTCTTTGAAATCAATAAAAATATTTTTTTTAAAAGCCTCTGTCTGGTATTTAGCATAATGTATGTAAAATACAACAAACAACAAATATTATTTATTTTGTACTATTAGGAAAAGATATCATATTGGCAAGATTATTTTGAATTAACTGTTTGTGCTTTTTGTTTTTCTGTAGATGGACCATACATCCCCGACCTACATGCTTGCTAACTTAACACACTTACATTCTGAACAACTTCTGCAGGGTCTGAATCTTCTTCGTCAACATCATGAACTCTGTGACATCATTCTTCGAGTAGGTGATGTTAAAATTCATGCTCACAAAGTGGTACTTGCCAGCATCAGCCCATATTTCAAAGCTATGTTTACTGGAAACCTTTCTGAAAAAGAGAACAGTGAGGTTGAGTTTCAGTGCATTGATGAAACTGCTCTCCAGGCTATTGTGGAATATGCCTACACAGGGACTATTTTTATTTCACAGGACACAGTGGAATCTCTCCTTCCAGCAGCAAACCTACTCCAGATAAAACTTGTCCTGAAAGAATGTTGTGCATTTCTTGAAAGCCAACTTGACCCTGGTAATTGTATTGGAATTTCTCGTTTTGCAGAGACATATGGTTGTCATGACCTTTATTTGGCAGCCACTAAATATATATGCCAGAATTTTGAAGCTGTTTGCCAGACTGAAGAATTTTTTGAGCTTACACATGCTGATTTGGATGAAATTGTTTCCAATGACTGTTTGAATGTAGCTACCGAAGAGACTGTTTTTTATGCACTTGAATCTTGGATCAATTATGATGTACAAGAACGCCAGAAATACTTAGCACAGCTACTTAACAGTGTGCGATTACCACTGCTAAGTGTTAAATTTCTCACTAGATTATATGAAGCAAATCATCTTATTCGTGATGACCGTACTTGTAAACATCTTTTGAATGAAGCCCTAAAGTACCACTTTATGCCTGAACACAGACTCTCTCATCAGACAGTCTTGATGACACGACCTCGCTGTGCTCCCAAAGTACTTTGTGCAGTAGGAGGAAAATCTGGACTGTTTGCCTCTTTGGATAGGTAAATAGAAGGATTGATATTAATAGATTTTATACTTTCTAAATGTGCTTTCCATAATTTTAAAATAGTTTGATTTTCTTATTTTTTAAAAATTTGCTTCTTTTTTCTCTTCTTCCTAAACACTTACCTGATTGTTTTAATGACATTGTTATTCATTCTCTACAACACTCAATTATTAACACCCCAACTTGCAGTGTTCAAACTTCATCTCTTCTGGGTACTTACTAATAACTTTTCTATTTTATGTCTTTTTTATTTGTGAAACCATTTGTGTCTTTATTAGAGTCACACCAGGTCAGAGGGATTTATTATTGCTAGCTATATCAGAAGGTACTAAAGAGGAGAGCTAGAAATCGGATGGAGACTTAGGGCCAACATTGGGTTTGAATGAATTCAGTTAATTAGAAGAACCACTAAAGAAATAAGAAAAAGTAGGATATTGATACAAATCATGGACGATATATGCAATTTATTTTCTTCAATGTAAATTTTTGTAGTGACAGTAGTAAAAAGTGCTTTCTTTTCTAATAACTTGGAGTTGTCAGACTATTTCTATGAAGAGCCAAATAATAAATATTTTAGACTTTGTGGCCATATGGTCTCTGTTATAACTACTCAACTCTGCCATGTGTGAGAGAAGTCATAGACAATACATAAATTAATTAGCATAGCTTGGTTCCAATAAAACTTTATTTACAAAAGTATTGAGCTGAATTTGGCCCATAACTGTTATTTGCCAATCCCTGATTTAGAGCATTATACAAATAACTTTTATATATTGAAAATATAACTGGATGTTATCTTTGCTTTTCCCTTAAAGGGGATTGCTTCATGAAAACTTTTGTGTTTGATATATTTCTTCAATACTGTGGATTTCTTTCTGGCTATTTCCAAAAATTTGGTAGATTGCTTTCCCTGCCTCAATGGTAGGGTGTTTTATCAATGTCAACTGATATATTCTGTATCTTTTAAAAATATCTTTTTATTGATTTTAGAGAGAGGAAGGGGAGAGAGAGAAAGAGAGAGAGAGAAACATTGATGTGAGAAAGAAACATCAACCAGGCTGATCAGAAATTGAACCAGCAACTTTTCAGTGCACAGAGATGCACAGGATGATGTTCAATCAACTGAAGCACTATTCTGAATTTTCTGTGCATTATTCCTTTGTGTTAAAATTTTGCCGTATCTTTTATGTGCCCCAATATATCGTTAGTTTTTACACCTTTTTTTCTTCTTCTTTTTTTTTTTAAAGAATAGTTTATTGATTTTTAGGGAGTGAGGAAAGGAGAGGGAGAAACATCGACGTGAGAGTGCAACATTGATGGGCTGCCTCTTGCATCCCCCTACCAGGGATTGAGCCCACAACCCAGGCATGTGCCCTTGACTGGGAATCCATCTGGCAACCTCCTGGTGCACAGGATGACGCCCAGCCAACTGAGCCATAATGGCCAGGGCTATACATTTTTATATAAATGAAGTAGTACTATATATATTTTTCAGATATGTGTTTTCTCGCTCAGCAGTAAGTTTATGAAAGCATGAGAGACTGCATGAGGAAATAGTTTATTTAGTTCCATTGGTGTGCGGTCTTATGTGGACATAATATAATACTTTCTACAATGAGCATGTTAATTATAAAAATAAATTGAAATGCTACACACATGCAGAAAAGTTCACAAATTCTAAGTGTACAGCTTAGAATTATCACAAAGTGAACATAACAAACCAGATTAAGAAATAGGAAACATGACTAAAACCCAGAAACCATCCTTGAGTTCCCTCCCTGTCTTCCCCAAAGGTCACCACTATCCTCATTTTTAATCCAGAGGTTAGAAATGTTTTTGAACTTCATATGACTGAAACTATACAGAATATAATTTTCTCAATTTTGGCTTCTTTCCCTCAATGTTATATGTGTAAGATCCATCCCTGTTGCATGTATCTATAGTTTGTTCATTTCATTGCTTTGTAGTATCCTCTTATATAATATGCCGCAATTTATCCATTTTTTTGTTGATGAACATTTGGAACATTTAAAAACATCCAGTTTTTAACTATTACAAATAATGCATCTGTGACATCCTTGTACATGTATATATGTGTACTTTTCTCTTAGGTATACTAGTATATCTAGGAATGGAATTGCTCAGTCATAGGGTGGATATACCATCTTATTTATTCACTAGAGGCCCAGTGCACGAAATTCATGCACTTGGGGGGGGGGTTCCCTCAGCCTGGACTGTGCCCTCTCACAGTTCAGGAGCCCTCGCTCCTTACTACCCACCTGCTCACTGCTCCTTACCACTCAGCTTGCTGCTCCTTAGCGCTGCCCCAGAGGCAGGAGAGGCTCCTGCCACCACCACTGCGCTCGCTAGCCATGAGCCCGGCTTCTGGCTGAGCGGTGCCCCCCTGTGGGAGCACACTGACTACTAGGGGGCAGTTCCTGCCTTGAGCGTCAGCCCCCTGGTGGTCAGTGCGCATTGTAGCAACCGGTTGTTCTGGTCATTCTGCCGTAATGGTCACTTAGGCTTTTATTATATAGATAGAGGCCCAGTGCATGAAATTCATGCACTTGGGGGGAGGTCCCTCAGCCTGGCCTATGCCCTCTCTCAGTCCAGGAGCCCTCACTCCTTACCACCCGCCTGCTCACTGCTCTTTACTGCTCAGCTTGCTGCTCCTTAGCGCTGCCCCAGAGGCAGGAGAGGCTCCCGCCACCGCCACTGCACTCTCCAGCCATGAACCCGGCTTCTGGCTGAGCAGTGCGCCCCCTGTGGGAGCGCACTGACCACCAGGGGGAAGCTCCTGCATTGAACGTCAGCCCCCTGGTAGTCAGTGCGCATCATAGCAACCAGTCGTTCTGGTCGTTCCGCTGTAATGGTCACTTAGGCTTTTACTATATAGATTCTTCTTTCGATGGATGATTGTGTTGTGCTGCTATGAACATTTCTGTATATGTGGCCTGGTGTAAAACTGTAATATGCATTCAATAGAATACATATACAGGAATGAAACTGCTGTCAGGCTTGTATATATATCTTCAAATTTACCAGAAAATGTGAAATCATTTTCCAGGGTAGTTTTGCCAGTTTACACTCTCACCAACAGTATTTATTCCTTGCTCCACATCCTTGTCAGTAGTTATTATCTGACTTTAAATTTTTCCCAGTCTGGAAAGTGTGTCATGGTTTAATGTGGTTTTAATTTCATGTCCCTGATTACTAACGAGATTAAACATTTTTGTTTATGGACCATTTTGATTTTTAAAATGTAATTGTTTCTGCTTATTCTTTAGTGTGGAGATGTACTTTCCTCAGAATGACTCTTGGATTGGTTTGGCACCCCTAAACATGCCTCGCTATGAATTTGGAATATGCGTTTTAGACCAAAAAGTGTATGTTATAGGTGGTATTGAAACTGACGTGCGTCCTGATTTCACTATCAGAAATCATGAAAATTCAGTAGAATGCTGGAATCCTGATACAAATACCTGGACTTCTCTTGAGAGAATGAATGAGCACCGAAGTACCCTTGGAGTGGTAGTACTTGCAGGAGAACTTTATGCTTTAGGTGGTTATGATGGACAGTCTTATTTACAGTCTGTAGAGAAGTATATTCCCAAATTAAGAAAATGGGAACCTGTGGCACCAATGACTACAACACGAAGTTGTTTTGCTGCAGCTGTGCTGGATGGAATGATATATGCCATTGGTGGGTATGGTCCCGCCCACATGAACAGGTATTTAACTTAATCAAGCTGTAGATTTTTAAAGTATTAACAATTAGTGGCCCAGTGCACGAAATTTGTGCGGGCGGGGGGGGGGGGTTGTCCCTCAGCCCCGCCTGCACCCATTCCAATCTGGTACCCCTCGGGGGATGTCCGGCTGCTGGTTTAGGCCCGATCCCTGTGGGCCTAAACTGGCAGTCAGACATCCCTCTTGCAATCCAGGACCGCTGGCTCCTAACTGCTCACCTGCCTGCTTGCCTGATCGCCCCTAACCACTCTGCCTGCCGGCCTGATTGCCCCCCC